ATGGATCTAGGCTCAGACAGTGCTCTCTTGGATGGATCTAGGCTCAGACAGTGCTCTCTTGGATGGATCTAGGCTCAGACAGTACCCTCTTAGATGGATCTAGGCTCAGACAGAGCTCTCTTGGATGGATCTAAGCTCAGATAATACTCTCTTGGATGGACCTAGGGTCAGACAGTACCCTCTTGGATGGATCTAGGGTTGTTGTGACCTGGGGCAAGTCACTTTCAACTCTTGGTCTGTATTTCCTCATCTAAAAAATTAAGATTGCCTAAATCAGGGTAGGCTAACTCTAGAGCAAAGAATCCCAAATTGTAATGGCTTCATCCAAAATAGGAGCTTCTGTCTTTCTCAGTTTACAGTTTGGGGTGGCCCAATGGGAAAGAGCTGGGCTCCCTACATTAGCCCAACAGGGACCAAGGCTCTTTCCGTGGTGTCGTCCTTGAAGCAGGCAGGGAAAAGACAGGGTGAAGAGGACACCCCTGCTCTAACCAGGCAGGCTTGGAAGGAACCAAGTCGCGTGTGCACCCATTCTGTGCACACTGACAAGAACATGGCCCCTGGTGGAACCAAAGGACTCCATCAAGTTGTCCAGCTATGGTCCCCAAGAAAGAGGAGGACACGGACACGGGAGCTCCAGTCTTCTCTGCCTCAGAGATGGAGATGCAGTGCCCCTCCCTGGGCTGCGTGCTAGGTGCAGTCACCCTCCAAGCCCCACGCCCTGCCCCTGGGAGGCTCAGACACTGCCATTTTTCTTCTCTTTCCCCCACTTGAGGTTTATGCAAATAACAGGCCAAGGCAAGAAATTAAATATATGTCCCTCACCTCTGACGTTCCTTATTTCCGTGTTCCTCATAGTGTAACATTTCATTAGACCTTCCAGATGGGGAAAGAACAAGCAGATTACAAGTCAGATAGTGCCTAGAAGCCTGCTTCATTGGTTTCGGGGACGGCTGGAGCTTCAAAGCTATTTGGTATTTCCACTGCCGAAAGGCTCCTCGGGAGCAGTTGTGTTTTAATAAATGGCTGCTTGAGTAATTTTCCTCGAAGGAATTGCATTGCGGATATGTGCGCTCCTGGGTGGGGGGCAGTCCCTCCTGGCGCTCCTGGTGCCGATAGGTTGCAGATTGGATGCTTGGGGCCGCAGGAGCCTGTCGAGTCTGCCCACCCTGTGCTGGTGGGGTGGGCTCGGCTCTGGGCCCCTCTAGACGCTCCAGGACTCTGTGGAGGTGCTGGACAGGGAGAGTGGGAGCCTGGCCACACCACATGTGGGTCTTGACCACGTTCAGAAGGAGCTGATTTGCCCAACCAGCCCCACCGAACTCTCCCTGAGAGCCACCGGCAAAAGGAACCACTTTAAAACCCAGGGAGAATTCATTCTGAACTATTGCTGCCCCCACCACCAGTGGGCAGCGTGGTGGGCATGGCGGGTAGCAGGGCAACAGAAGGCCGATCCAGCACGTCTCCCCCTTTGGGAGTGAAGCTGGGCTCGGGAACTATGCTGAGGTGGGTCTCGGTGTTCACTCACTCACTCGGTATGTGCTGAGCTCCCCAAGAGGTCAAGGACTGTCTGAGCTGAGACACAGCAGAGAGCAGAACCAGCAGAGATGGGGGTAGGCGAGAGCGGGACTCGAGAGCCACGTTGCCCGGACCCAGATTCTGTCTCTACCGCTTTTTAGCTGGGTGACTTTGGGAAAGTTGCTTGACCTTTCTGTGCCTCAGTTTCACCATCTGGAAAATAGAGATCGTCACCATAGAGCTGCCTCATAGAATTGTCATGCAGATTAAATGAATGTCAGGGTTCACAGGACGGCCCAGCACCATGGCAAGAAAAGGGAGGGTGTCTTCTTCTCTGATCTCAGCGGAATCCACCAGGCGCCTACTTTAAGGCAGGAAGCCCTGGCGCAGCACAGTGGGGAGGCCTGGCATGCCGCTCCTGGGCATGGGTCACTTCCTGTGTGACCAGAGAAAGGAATCCAGGCTGGTCCCCTCCTGTGACAGGAGGAACACTGAGCTCCTTTTATGCTAGCCCAGAAGGACGTCCAATGGTACCAGGCTGTCATCTGACACCAGAGTCCCCCAGCCTCAGGCAGGGGCCATGGCTTTATCTGGTCTCCCCTCCTCCCTCCCACCCGAGGTCAGATCTCTGCAGCACTCTTTGTTGAGCCCCAGACAGTGGGATCAGTCCTGCTGTGGGCCCGCCCTCTGTAAATGGACGGCTTGTGCCTGCAGCCTGGGCTGCGCTGAGCCAGAGCAGATGGTCATCTCCCCCGCTCTCCCAGGGGCTGCTGGGGCTGAGAGCTGGCCTATTCAGCTCTCATTCAGAGGCCCCGACCTGTCATCCCAGTCCTCCAGAGGCCACCCTCCCCTGTTCCCTGGGGAGAACCCTGGGGCTGAACCCTGTGTAGCCAGGACCGCACAAGTGTCTGTGGGAAGCGGATGTGACTGGCGGCTGTGAGTAGGACTTCCACCCAGGAAACCGTGGGGTTGGCTAGTGCTGTGTTTTCTGAGCTTGGTATGTGGTCAGGCCCACAGGAGCCTGCAGGATGAGGGCTGGGAGGGATGGGGGCCTGGGGCCACCAGGAAGGCTTCTTGGAGGAGGGTCCACCACTCACTCACAGCAGAAGGTCAAATGCCATGTTCTTGTTGCCCAAGAGTCTCGGATGAGGCCTTAAAGAAGCTGCCAGCCCTGTGGGGTGGAAGATAAAAATGACATAATGACATAATGTCAAGAGAGTGTGCCGATTGCTGAGCTGGCGGGTACCACAGAGTTCAGAGGAGGGTTCGGCCCAGCTCAGGGATCCTGAAAGACACACACACACACACACACACACACACCTCCCTCTTCTCCCCTAAACCATTTCTCCTTCTGGGCACCTGATAGGGTCTCTCTTCCCTATAGGTTCAGAGTTAGGTGTCGCCATGGGGCACGCTTTCACCAGTGACATGAGGGCAGAAGGGATGGGCACCCATTCCAAGGGAAATCCTTAGGAATCAGTGTGTGAGCCCCTAAGCCTAGTTTCCCTTTCCACAGTGGCCAGCAGTGCCCGGGGGTGACCACGCTGGCCGCTGGGGTCTTGAAGAGAGAGTGCCCAGGAGCAGGACTGCCTTTGACCAGCAGTGCACAAACAGCAAGAACGGAAGCAATGTCATGGCCGAAGCCACTGAGACCCCGGGGCTAGTTCATCACGGTAGCACCACCCACCCGTCTAGGCTGAGGCAACCATGATGGGGTCAAGTGTCCACAATAGAAAGCAGGCCTTGCTTGAATCTCTGAGCCATTGGCCCTTGTTTGTTGGGGCCCCCAGCCCCAGGAATGGAGATCTAGGCTCTCGCTCACCTCCGCTCTGGCGCTCACTGGCTGGGTTGTGCCTGCGGTGGAAGGGGTAGCTGATGACTGCCCAGCCTGCCTCCAGGGCTGCCCTGAGGGTCCCGCAGGAAGTCTTCCAAGCCCAGAAACTGGGGAGCAGCCTGCTTCCCTCAGCTTCCCTGTCTTGAGCCCTGGGGGTCATGGCAAAGGTCCCCCTTGTTCAGAGCCAGGTGGAGGCAGGAGAGTCCGGGAAGGGAGGACCCAAGGAAACGGTGCTGATTCCTGCTGGTGTGCCTGGGGCCCGCGGTCCCAGGCTGCTCGTCAGGGGTGGAAGTGGCAGCCTGGAAGCAAAGTATCCCTGCTTGGTTAATCTAAAAATAAACAGAAAGGCAACAAAAATCTATGTTTCAATTACTGCACACAAGCTGTTCAAACAGCCAGCTCTGCACTGGAGATGTGAACTTGTCAACAGAGGCTGCCTCGTTTGCATGCTTGGGTGGTGACAAAGCACGCAACCTCGCAACAGGCTGCCCTCTGGTCTGGGCTGCCTTTTTTTTTTTTTTTAATTAAATTAAAAACACGGACATGGAATCAAGACAATGAAAATGTGAAGCAAGTACATCAAGATAGACACAAAGACAAAGAAGCCCCTGTGGTCTCGAGACAGCCTGGCACTGGGTACTGAGGTCAGCAGGAGTGTGGGCAAAACAAGAGGCTCATGGCCAAGACAGGGGACAAAAGTCTCTCTCCCAAGTGGCCCAAAGCACTCTTCCCCTGGGACTCACTGCTCCTCCTGGCGGAAGCCCCTACAAGTAATGTGGGTCTTTGGTTCCCAAAGCCAAAATGACAGTTTGGGAGGGGTGGGGACGCTCCCTCTGTGGAAGGGAGATGTCTCTGCTCGCTGCATGCCTGGCCCCAGAGCTGGGACTTCCCTCCCTCTGCATTTCCTCTCACTAAACACAATCTCCTCTCTAAAATTAATGCAGCCTCAGGAAGCTGCACAGCCTTAGGGCTCCAGAGCCACCCTGACCCTCCCTGCCTACTCCAGCCACACTGGCTGCTCCCTCCCCAGCAGCTCCATGTTCCTCGTACCCTATATTGATCCCTGTGCACTGTCCTCCTGAGCAGCTGGGTCCCCAAAGGCAGGAACCAGCCGTGCCCTGTTCGTACTTGCCCCTCAGTGTCTAGCACCGAGCTGGGTCACCATGGGGAAGGACATGGTCATTGCACTTGCTGTGATTTAGCAAACGTGAGTTAGCTCAAGGGCATGCCTAAGGGTTTGCGTGGGTGGGAAAGGCGGGTGTGAATTCCCCACGCAAGGGGGTAGGGTCTCAGAAGAGGAAGTCAGAAGTTGTGATTTCCCAGGCAGAGATTTGGATAAGCAAGAAGCCCCCCCCCCCAGGTCTCACCAGAGAGGAGACGAAAGCTGGATGCTAGCACTTAATGCGGGCGATGGTTCCACAAATCCTGCGTGCTGAAGTGGCTGTCGGTTCCGCATTTGCTCTGGACAGGGATTTTAATGTCCCCAGCCCTCCGAGCAATTCTGCAGCCATCAGCCCAGACGCTAGTTACTTGGTGAAATAAAAGAGCAGTTGAGTCTCTCCCAAGGAAGATAATATCCTGTCACAGGCAGTATGATCTGCCGGCCATGTGACGGCCGTTCCCTAATGTTTCCAAATAGACTTTTGAATAGACTCTTGTCTAGAAGAAAGCAAATTGCAAGAGCATTTTGGCAGCCAAATAGAGAGCACGCATCAGTCTTTCTTCTTTGCAGCTCTTGCTGCTGGGTCTGGCTCCAGGCACCGAGTAGGATTCATTCATCAGCTTGGGTCACTGACGAACACCATTTCCTGTGAAGCGGGAGCCCGTTGAATTAGTCAATTCTGCAAGATTCAGAATAATCAGGCATGTCTGCGAGGCAGCCCTGAGCCACTGGGAGGCCCACTTGGAGGAGGGAAGTAACTGCAAAATTCAGCTCCAAAGACTTTGATCCAGGGTTTGCAGGACTGTTGGGACACAGGGCTCCAATTTCAGGGTCTCCATCCTCCATGGAGCCACAAGAACAAGGAATCGGAAGGAGCCAACCATGGTTATTCATAATGATAACTCTAGCTAATTCTCATCTAAATGATCAAACCCTACCCGGCATAACTCCCTCATCGATCCTGTTGTTTACGAGTCCCTAATTTATACACGCCTCCCCTCTTCCCTCAGTTTATGCTGATATTATGTTGCCAACTGTCATTTCCAATATCTTTTTTATTTTTCATTATCACCATTATAATGATTTACACCAGGAGCAATAGCACAAATGCCTAGTCAATTAGTCCCATGAGAGAAGTCTCTGAATCGTGTGCTTTTTTGAAAAAAAAAAAAAAATCACTACATCGAAACCCACAGCCAGAAAGTCTCAAAGCAAAGGTGCTCATGGGAAGGAGGGATCTGGGAGCCTTGTTCTTTTAATATTGCTCATCTCAAACAGGTATGGGATACCACCTTTCTGAAGCAGGGAGATTGCTTTTTGTGAGAGAAATTGGGCCCAGAAAAGGAATCGGTGACATCTTTCCTGCAACCTATCATCAGAAAAGCATTTTGAACATTTGTCATTTTAGGTCATGTATTAAGCCCTGTAATTATAGAATATGAGTTTTCCAAAAGATACCCTGACCCCCAGGGCCATCCGGCGTATTGGAATGCCTGATTCTGGGTGGAGCCCCGCATCTCAGACTGTGTTCAAACTACAACCTGTTAAAAATGCAGATTCTGACTTGAGGGTGCTGGGGTGAGGCCTGAGATCTGCATTGATAACAAGCACCCAGGTAGTAGGAACTGCTGGCCCACCCACCTCAATTTGAGGACGCAGAACTAGATCATTGTCCCCGTCCCTGAGCTTCCTTTTGTTCCTCCTCCTTACTTACAAAATTCCATGTTTCCCTGCCTACACCATTGGGATGCTGTCAAGCAAACGTGTGGTGGCTTCGAAAGACACCCATGTGGATGAGCACTTCCCGTGGGCGCTCGCCTCTGAGCACGTGGAGAAGTGCATATGGCAAATGCCCAGTGGTTATCTTGGTCCTGTCTTGGGGTAGATCCCCAGAAGTTGATTCTTTTACGTAACTGAAACTTTGTAGCCTTTTTCCATCCCTCCCTATTTAAGTGTTCTTACTATAAAAGGAAAAAAGAAAAAAAAGAAGGCAGAGGGAACTTTTGAATGTGACAGGTATGTTGGTGGCCTGGATAGCGATGGGTAGATGGTTTTGAGCATGCACATTAGATCTCTGAACACATCAAGTTGTGTACATTAAGTATCTACAGCTCTTTGTGTGCCAATCAAACCTCAATAAAGCAGCTAAAATAAATAAATTAATAAGAACCGTGCTGAGGAGAAGAGCCATGGCCCCCTAAGGCCAGACAGCTGTCATAAATCACCACTGCTGGACGTGTGACACAGGGGCTCCCTTCGCACTCCCTGGGGGCCAGTCTATTGAGTGAGGTCTCGGTTTGCTGGGTTATTTCCCTCCAAGTCCAAGGACAGACTCAGGCCGGGCAACTCTGCAGTTAGCTGGCATTGGAGAAAGAAAGCTCCCCGTCTTTTTCAAGCAACGAAGATGATACCCTAAAGCCTCTGCTACAAAACCTTGGGTCACCTAGGGGTCCCGGGGTGGAAGCAGAGGTCAGAGGGATGGCTCGGGTTCCTAACTGCCTCTGTGACATCCCTGGCTCCCCTCTTCTCCCGGCCTGGGGAAGGCTGCTTGGCTGGTTCCACACCCTGGAGCCTGTAGCAGGTCTTGATGGAAACTTCTGGTTACTAAGCCAAGGGCTAGGCTGAGCCACTCCAGCCTGGCACCCAGATTGGACAGTTTCCCACTGGCCTTGATGGTGGGGTGGTCCTGATGATGATGACAGGAGAGAGTCACACAAGGTCCCTTGTGGCTGGACAGGGTGATATGGAGGCAGAGGGCCCTTTCAGAGCAGCGCTATGCCCCCCTAAGGCCAGACAGCTGTCATAAATCAGCACTGCTGGACGAGTGACACAGGGGCTCCCTCCCCACTCCCTGGGGACCAGTCCACTGAGGGAGATCTCAGTTTGCTGGGTTATTTCCCTTGGTATGTTAAGGAAGGGAACTAAAGATATAACCACCCCACAGGTTACTCACCCCAGCAGAGGGGCAGGCGGAGCTGGCACTGCCTTTGGTACCCCAGAGCTTCCTTGGCTTCTGCTGACCCAAAGGATTTAAACATGGGGCCTAGCCAAAGCAGGCACCTGTGTGTGACCCACACATTTCACATCCACTTGGAGGCCTCCCCCTGCCTGGAGAATAGCTCACTGGTTCTTAGGGCAGTGTGCAGGGCCAGGACTCGGGCCAGGCAGGTATATCAGAATTCAGGAGTGGCTCCTGTCAGGGCTGTGCGAGTGCAGGTGGGCCCCAAGGACAAGCCCTTCTTAAATCTTGACACCATACTCCTCACTCACTTCAGCCTCATCCCGCCATGCCACGCGCTCTGTGCCGCAAAGGGCTAGTCCCCTTGTGTCTGGCCAGCCCTGTGCTCTGTCTGCTGCAGTGGAGGAAGCAGAGGGAGAGAGCTGACCCTGACATTAGGAGCAGAGTCCAGTCTTACATGGGAAAGTGGAATATGCCAGTCCATCGCTGTGTCTGGCTTCTGGCGCAGGGAAGAGAGGGTCGGTCAGAGAAGGCCTCCCGTGAAGAGGCCAGGTGGAGCCCACCTCAGCCTCAGCGGAAGGGAGTCTTCTGAGTTACTGGGGGCTCTGCAGGGATGAGGGTCCGTGAGGGCTACACCAGCCCCTGGAAGCAAGGGGCATCCCCCAGGGGCATCCCCAGCTCCCACCGACAGCCACACCAGGCCGGCTTCTCCAGAGGCACGCGGAGAGTTCCTTTGTGTTGCATTTGCCAAGATGGTGTTCTGGCCGCTACGTAATGTTTTGTTCCAGAAGAAAAGCTAAAAGATGCAGAGAGGGAAACGAAAATAATAAAGATGGGCACAGGCTGTTCCAATTGACTTGGCAGCACGTCTCCCCCAAATGAGGCAATCATCCATTTTCCAGCCAGGCCCGGACTCCGCGGCTCATTCCTCAGCCAGCCTCCTCGGCTCCCCTGTCTGGAGGCAGCGCGGGCTCCCCTGCCTTCCTGTGGATTAATCACGCCTTCGGGGCCTCACAGCCGGCAGCCCACTCCTTCGGCATGTCTTAATGATAAGAACGAGGAAAGGGTCATTAGCCACCTGTGATCCTGTGTGCAGCGCATACACATGGCGCATGTTAATACGCGTGGGCATCGCCCGCATCCCCGACACACAGCGCGTCGCTGGACCCAGACCACAGTCATTCTGCTCACACGTTCAGGTGGACACAGCAGCCTGTTCCTGGGCAGGGCCTCTCAGGGCCAGTGCCCTGGACTCATGGACACTGTCCCCGGGCTCCAGCCCCACATGGATGACACAAACACTCTGTGATTCATAATTATTTATTGATGAATTATTCATGTTGAAGGTTTTCCAGGCAAATCTGCAAAGCAGGGCTGCTGATCGGGTGTCTAGCAAGTGTCCAGGAGACAGAGCCCTGCGGCCAGCTGGTAAGACATCAGAGACGTTGCTGGGTGCTGGGGCTGAGCCTGGAAGTCAGCTGATTACCCTCGTGTGGCTGTCCTCAGGCCCGGGGAGCCCAGACCTTCCCCAAACCTGAGCCGGGGCCATGGTGATGTCCCTGAGCTGCTGGATGAGGCCCATCTGTCAAGGCTGGCTCCGGGGTTAATGACACGAGGTCCCATGACATGGGTATTTAGCTGGGGCTGACCTTCCTCCTGCTATCTGGCGTCTCCTAGTGACTCGGTGAAACCATCCGACGAGGTCTCCGGCTGCCTGGCACAGGGGCTCTCAGTAGCTCTGTGTGTGCCTGCAGATACCAGGCAGAACCATGCCTCCTGGCCGACAGTCCCCTGGATGCTCATTGTGGGAGGGCCCATTCCCGCTGGCCTTGGGACTGCCGCCTGTCCTTTTCACCTGAGCGGGAGGATAGGACCATTAGCCAATGACAGCTCTTCAGCCCGGGCAGAGGGTTCACAGCAGGCATTGCTTGATCCCAACAGTGATCCCGGGGGCAGACAGTGTTGTGGATCCCATTTTCCAGATGAAGTAGAGCAACAGGGACATCAGGGGTTAGGGACAGACCGTGGGTGAAATCTTGGGAAGGCTAGAGGTCAGGGACCAAGGCTACTTTGTCTTCTCCATTTGATTCTCCTTAATGAGCTGTTTCCTCCAAGGGAATAGAAGAGTGTCTAGGGACAGGTGGCCCTTCCTTCCTTCCTGCACATCCCAGGTACCCTGGCTTCTAGTGGTGCTGGCCACAGTGACAGCTTGGCTCTCCCTGCCAACAGAAGGGAAGCCACTGACTTTCATCCGCTCCTGGTGAATGGAGTGTACCACTCCTCAGGAGGGGAGGAAGCAGCAAGAACAGGCCCTTCACCCTCCCCAGAGGCCAGCATTGGAAGTGGAAAAGACCCTTCCCACAGGGGACTGGGATGCTAATAGATTCACCCACATAGTGGCCTCTGGGACACTTCTGAGAGATGACCTGAATTTTCAGGTAGTTGGGCTTCTTTTCTTCAGAGCTAGTCAGTGTGGTGCTTTGCATTTTAGGATACTGGGGAACTTTATCCTTAGGTTTGGGCGTGGGCCTGTGCTTGTAGAGGCCTCTGCAGGTAGTTGTGAGCTGGGGGCTGGATTGCAGCAGGATGGATGTCTAAATATTCAGGGAGGCACTTTGGCCCATCGGGAATGCATCACAGTGACGTGCTGACCCCAGTCTTTATATATGCCCCAATTCTGTAAGGAAGAAAGGTGCATCCAAAGAAAAGGAAGTGGAGAATCCAAGGCCTGACCTGGCTTCCCAGCTGTGTGCAGGACCCAGCCTCCGGCCTCTCCTGGCACATCCTGGGGACGTCCCTGAACAGGCTGCTGCAAGGATGAGCATGTGTGATCATGGGCACGTGCCCATTCTGCACTGGTGGGCCCTACACATATGAGACTCCAGGAAGCAGAAGAGGAGGTTCCACCCTCCCCCGGGAAGGACTCAGTCTTCCCCCCCTTTCTCCCACAGACCAGCATTCCTGGGACAGTTCACAGGACAGACTGCAGTGGAGAAACGGTTTTCTGAAAAGAGGATCCCACAACGCAGAGCCAGGTTGCCCTGATAAAATACTGATCTCTGGGAGGCCTTTCAGCGTCCCCCCAGGACCTGCACAACCATCTCTACCCGTAGGTACCCAAGGCCACGCCGGCCTCTGTCCCAACACCAGAGTTTCTGGATTCCAGGGCTTTTTCTCTCCACAGGTGCATGTCAGGTACAAAGGCCCTGGCGGGGCGCTACCCACACAGAGGCTAAGCCTGGGTTCTCTAACTGTCCTCTCCACACCAAGGGACAGCTGCTGCCCGCACCCCCTCCCTTCTTGCACGGGCAGCCCACCAGGGGAAGGTGCTCACCTGGACAAGGGGGCATTTTTCTGTGTTTTAGTCTCTAATTGCCTCCCCCGTCTGGTTGGAGGCACCTCGTCCACTCAGGGCTTCCTTCCACCGCACGTGCGCTCCCTCTGCCTCCCCCGGCACCACCCGGGGCACACGTGTGCGCACACTGGACCTCTGTGACTCGCTGGCTCTGCGCCCAGCAGGAAATACTTAGGTTGCCACCTCTGGAGCTGGCGCTCTGCCGTCTCGCTCAGAGTAAACCGTGCAACACATTTCTTTCATTCGTTTGAAAGGGAAAATTAAACTGAGGAATGAAGTCTGACCCGAGCACTGGCATGCAAGCCGTTGACCTTTGTTTTGAATACGTTTAATGAGACTGAAACCAGATTGTGTGGCCTCCAGCTGCCAGAGGCTTCACCTCCTCCCTGGCATTTGAAGGAGATGGAAGAGATGGCAGTGGGCTGAGCGGGGAGGGCCATGTGGGTTGCCGGGGCCCGGCTGTACCTTGAGCGCTGGAATAGAGCCGAGGAAGTAGAGCCATGGAGATGTCCACAAGGTGGTCCCCAGTAGCCACCGAGAGGGCTATTGGCATCTGAGGTTTTATTGGGGCCAGGGGACCTGATCCCAAGCACACCGGGCTGCGTCTAGCATGTCTTGGGACAGACACAGCCACCCTGAATGCTGCCCAGCATCTCCAGCTGGGAGGAGAGGGGTTCACCTGTGAGGCTGTGTTGTAGGAAAGAAGGGACCGACGGAGCGTCAGACCAGACGAGGCAGTGCCAAGGGAACAGACTTCGATCTCAGTGCCTCATAGAGTGAAGACCCATGTCCCAACTTGGCAAAGCCTGAAGTGGGAGGCAGACCTCTTCTGAGAGATAACAGCTCTGCCTGGAAGGTGTGGCCTTCAAGGTCCCTGAGGCAGGCAAACAAGCTACAGCACCATAGAATGCTTTTAAAAAGCCAGATCTGGAAGCCATCCCCAGGGTCCTCACTCATTATCTGCCAGATGCAGGTGGATTAGCCCAGCCTGCCTGCAAGTGCTGTGCTGGGAGTGGTCTTCCTGATGACTGGACAGACATGTGTGGTGGATACGTAACATCAACTTTGTCCATTTAGGATCTAACCTAGGGAAGCAGAGTCCTTGACACAGGGACAGTTAACAAGAGTTGTGCCTTGGTGGTGAATCTTGGGAGATAACCCAAGCTGTAAGGTCCAGCGGACACTCAACGTGCAGAAATTCTCCTCCAGGGCCGTCCTTGGAGGCTCAAGTCTGATTTCCTAGGAAGACAGGACATCTTCCCACTCTGGTGCCTATGAGGAATCGTGAGTCAGAAGCTTCAAGGTTTCCGTGTCTGAGGTCTCCACATGTTCGCTCTTTCTGGAAATGTTCAGCAATTAAGAAACGATAAATGTTTGAAATGTTTGATCACAACTGTGCTGGGCACCCCTCTAGGCCAGATACCCACTGTGTGCTGAGTTGCAAAGACAGTAAGGACCCGGACCTGCTGTCAAGGTGGCACATACAGTAGGCATAGACACTGGGATGATGGTGGGCGCCCAACACTCAGTGGCTAAGAGAAGGGCCTCTCACTTGACCAGAGTGGACAGGGTCAGCACCTGGAAGAGACCTGGTGCTGAGCTGTTTTAGAACAGGCCTTAGCCAGGGGGAGGGAGTAGCATGGACGTGGACCCTGAGCGGAAAGAGGGTGTGTGGACTGCAGGATCCCTAAGGCATTCTGGGTGGGTGGGCATCGCCTCTGGGCTGGGAGAGTAAGAGGGTGTGTAGAAAAATGAACCAGCCCCATCTTCTGGGTCACGGGAAGAGCGAGAGCCTTATCCTGAAGGGTGGGAAAGTAAATCCTCATCAGACTTGTGATTGTAAAAACTCAGGCAGGCAGTGGGTGGAGAATGTATAAGAAGTGCCAGCAGGAGAATTGAATCAGTCCTTGTGGGACACAATGTACGAGGGATTGGGGCCAGAGTTGAGGGCCACCGGGGCAGTGGAACCCAAGACCTATTGACAAATAGGGGATGGAGATGGGGAGACAGTTTGGCCTCTCTGAAACAGGAAATTCCTGCGGCTGGATGTCTGGGCCACAAATCAATGAGTTCTTTGGGGGACACGTGTTTGTGTGCCTGAGGAACAGCCAAGTGAAGGTGTGCGGCAGGCTGCAGGATCGTGGGGAGGTGTTTAGGAGGAGAGCTGGAAGCATAGCCCTGGGAGTCCTAGGTAAGGAAGGGGTGCTGCATGAGCTCAGCCCAGAGAAGAATAGAGGGAAATGTGTTACCCGAGGAGCCCTGACTTTCTGGGAACAAGCAGGATGCCATAGAAACCACAGAAGAGGGTTTCAGGAAGAGAGAGAGATCAGCTACAGCACATGAAGAGAGCCAAGGGCCAAGGGGGACAAGGGGGACAAGGGCATGAACGGCCACTGGATTCAGCAAGCAGGTGGCTCATGCCCTCAGAAAGCACAATTTTCCTAGAGGGGCCAGAGTGAGCGGCACATCACAGCAGTGTCCATTCAGAACAGGAGGAAGAAAACTGGAACCAAATTTAAACAACTCTCTCAA